AGTGGCTGCTGGCCACTCACGCTGGCTGCTGGCTACACACGGTAGCCCATGGCAACCCACTGCAGCAGGGGCTGCAGCCTACACTGTTGGCGGTGACTCACGGCAGCCCAGCTCCAGGTTGAGTTATTGTTCAGCATCTTAGCTGTGGAGGGCAGTGTCACTGGCTCTCATATGTGGGATCCAAACGGGGACCTTTTGGCATCCTAAGCCAGCTCTTAACCAACGCACCACTCGGCTGGCCCCTACCTAATTTTTTTTATAGTCTGCCATCTAAGAATGGTTTGTACCTTTTTAATTAGGAAAAAAAAAATCAAAGGATTTTTTTTATATAAATGACAATTATATGAAATTCAAATTTCAGGGCCCATAAATAAAGTTTCACTAGAACACAGCCATGCCTATTAATTTACATATTGCTATGGCTGCTTTCATGATGCTACAATGGTAAGGTCGAGTAGTGTGACAGAGGTTGTTTTGACCAAAAAGCTCAATATTTACTGTCAGGCTTTTTACAGAAAAAACGTTTGCCAACCCCTGCCCTATTATCATATTTATTATTTATTTGACAATATTTTTACAAAATTTACACATATGCTTTCTTACAAGTTACAAATACAATCGGCATTTTCTAGTACGTTATTTATTATGCATGCTTTTCACCTGCTAATTTTATAATTCCAGCAATCCAGAAGACTTTGGTAGGTAGGCTGCAGTCTGTATTGGGAACTTCTACTCTCACATTTTCTGAGATATCACCCCAGCAGGTCCCCATGGGTGCCTGTCATATAAAAATTATTAAATTATCATCTTATTAGCATAAAGCCTAAAACATATTCAAAATTAAGCATGACCATCAATAATGGACAACTAAACTAAAAATGCCATTAAATTCATTCATTTCTCTCTAAAAATATAACTTATTAAGAAAAAATAATTTAAAATATACCTAACTCTTATTTCCCTTTTCACAGAATTCTATTTGGAAAAAGCCAGTGATAGGGTCAAACTCAAGATGAAGGCAATTCACATATACTAGAACAGATCCACGTCGACTTCAAAATTCAATACTGTCCTAAAACAAGACCAGAGCAGCAATTTTTATAAAAGCTGAATCACAAACTTGACAGGTTTCACAGGATAAAGTTGACTTGAGAAACTCATTTTAAATATGCACCGAATGAACGTCCTTTACCTTAACCTCTAATTTTAAAAGATCTGGTAAAAGAGCAGAAAGAAAAATAATTCCAATCGCAATGTGGTTTCCAATAACAAAGGAGAAATAAAACTTAGTTATCTATGACTTTAACTAAGTTCAATTCATAGAACAGAAATACAGTCTGTTAAAACAGACATGTGGCAAAAGCAGTGAATAAAGTTATTTAAAAGGTGGAGTTGAAGAGTTTTTGGAGATGCATACCATGGTAAATTGTTAAAGAATTTATTATTTCTAAATTTCTGATGCAGGAGTTACTACAAACAAAGAGACAACTTTCAATGTGAGAACTGGCAATCATTAGCCTCCACACCAAATGGGGACTCAGAAAACCAATCAAATGAATATCATGAAGGAATTTTCCGAAATCTAACATGTTCCCAAATTACAATTTCTATTACATTTTAATCCTTAAAACTTAAGGCCATTTACAATTATCTGGAGCTTATACAATGGTGAATTAAATCAAATAAGTGAATTTAGGAATATAAATGTTGATAATTAATAAATACTAAACAGTCTCTGTGGCCCTTGATATCATCAGCTCTTCCTCATTAAATATAATTTAGAACCTTGATCAGAGAGAAAAGGATTAGGTGAGATTATAAGACCTGCTAAAACGAACAAATCAGAAAAAGACAAAATAGCCTCAAAGCTCAAAGACAAGTAAACAAAGACATCTAAGAGTTCCATGAACTAGCCAATCTGAACACTGGGCAGTGTTTTCCAGGCAAGGCCTCTCATAGTTGGCGGATGCTAACCCAACAGGAGGATTAGCCTAAAACAATCTTCAACCCCTATCATCTCAATAGTTTATGGAATTTCTGAAGGAGAGGAAGAAAATGTCAAATAATACTGAACTAAGATAAGTCTGGAAACCAAAGACAGAATCAATTTATGGCTATTGCTTGAAGTAGCAAGCAATGACTATAGCTCAATAACTTGGAGACAGTGGCCTATCTCAACTATTTGTGATTCTGGAAGGGTACACATACCTATCTCCCTGAGCTGTGCAAAAACAAAACAAAACTAAACAAAAACATCCATCATGACTACCTTTCTGCTTTTTTTTAAACTGAAAAACTAGACTCTTCAGGTTCTGCTATCTCCCCCTATATCACTCTAGACTGTAGGGCCATCCCTATTGCCAGCAGATATGATCAGAAAAAGAGATGCTGGAAGGAAGATAGGTAACATAGATAAAGCTAAGATATATTAACACAGAGATCATGTATGTATTCATTTCTGTGAGGATGAACCAATCAGAGCAGACAGATCTAGTTAAATGCATGTACTGAATGAAGGTCGAGTATTCATCTCTCTTTGGCTGCGAAATCTTATGGAATGGGTTGATTTTTCATTGAGAAGAAAGAGGCATAGTTATGCTGACCAGTTGGGGGCTATGTTGGCACACTGCTGCTAAGTGAATTTTGCTAAGTGAACAGGACTTCCTTTTGAACTAGATATGACGATGTCATACAGACTTTTAAAAAAAAAGCCTTAATAATTGCATGGAGAAAATAACTTTTAGTCACATTTTATTGAAGAAAACAAAGTCAAAATGCTGACTTAAAAAACAAAGTTACTGTCCATTTTAGTGGGGGATATTATGTTTTGGTTCCTACAGTCTGGATTGGTATAGGAGAAAGTAGCAGAAAGTGACATTTGTTCTTGCCTGTAAATTTGTGGTTCTGCTAGGCCCTCTTAAACCAATCCATATGGTTCGCTAAGAAAAAAGAAAGAAACGAAAACAACAACAAAAAAGAGCACTATAGTCATCGCACAGTATGTGCTCGAGGTGTTGAAATAATAAGGTAATTTCATAGATATATCTGCCCTTTTGTTGAAAATGAATATTCTTAAGTGTGGAAGACTAAATGACCCAGGGCTTGACAGCCATCTTCATCCAAGTCATCTGTCTTCTCTTGCTGGCAGGAGGGATACCTCTGAAAGTCTGGATTGGCATAGCATGAACTAGCAGAACCATCATTTACAGGTAACAACAAATTTACCTTCCAGACTCAGGACGAGAGGTCCACCTCAGGCTCCTCCCAAACCAGGAAGATCTGCTTCACCACTTCCTGCTCCAGGGCCACTCGTGAGGGCTATCTGGGAGCGACTCTCCTTCCCTGCAAGGTAAGCTATCATCAGGTCCTGCAGGACATGGCCAAATCCAATGCTGAGGGCTCCCCAGCACAAATTTATGATAACCTCCACCTGACTGTCTGTAAGAAAATCATTTGGTGGGAAGTCTTATTTTCTGCACTTCAGGAACATTCCCAGATAGTCCAATAGCTCAGATAGCTAGTATTGACTTTCAGAGGGCTGTTATACTGCATACATGATGCTTCACGGCAGAAATACAGATTTCCTTCCACAGAGCTGCCAATCTATAATTTTTGATAATCACACACAATCCTCAATACTATTACTAGAGTTTAAGTGGGCAGAAGTTAGCCCTGAAGTTGCACATAGGTAACCAAAAAAAGAGTCATTTCCAATAATGATAGGACAAATGTAGAAAAAGCCACTATTAACATACTTTAAGACAAATAGGCATTTGATTACTAAAGTGCATCGAGTAGAGAAAGATGAAATACTATCTCGCTAAAAAAGGAGAAAACAGAACAGGAAATTAATTAGAAAGAAATTAGTACTGCTAAATGCTGTTTGCTAGAATGAATAGGAAGTAGACACAGGAAAAAAAATTGTTCCCTCTTTCTCCAGAAAGTCCCTTCACCTTTTGATCTGATACCAGAATCTACTTTTTAGGGCAGTGGTAATAGGGAGATGGAGAGTACAAAAGGGAAATGCGGTGCTTGGGGTGGAAGTAAGATTACAAATGGGGGAATGCTGCGTATGTAAAAAAAGACAGGAAGCAGTGGTTACTGGTTTAAAAGGCATAAAGCAGTTTATAATTAAAAAAACCCAAACATATTAAATCAATCTTGTTTAAGTATTGGGAGACTAAAACAGGAAAACAGAAACCATTTTAGAAATCAGACCAAAATTAAGAAAATAATCTAGATTCTTTAGGCTTTTTATAAAACAGGTGTTTTCTTGCAGAGAATCTATTTCGTGGCAACTCACAACAGCTCAGATGGAGCACTAACAAGTGCCAGAAATTAATTTAAGTTTTATTTCCATTAGAAAGAAATTCTGCAATCAAGGATGACAGACGTGAATATTCTAACGTTAGTTAAAACGGATGCGAAGTCATATTTATTTTCAACCTTCAGTGGAGGCATGTGTAAGGTGTGTATGTGTGCTCAAGGCAAGGGGAAAATTTTTTTTCACTTGAGATTATTTTACTAATAAACACATACCTGAGAAGTAGGTAGACGAGTTTTACTCTACAGAGAAACTGTAGATACGCAAACAAAAGGGCTTTTTTTGTCCTTAAAATTAAAAAATGTACTTGTGATACATGTTGCAAAGAAATATGGATAACCTTATCACCTCCAAACAGCTGGCATACAGGTCAGGCACCAAAGAGAGGATTAGAAAATATCAGGTTAGTAATACCAAGTAATATTTGTGGAGGAAGGATGAAAAAGTATATAGTAAACTCAGCTTTAAAGTTACGGCATATATGTACAAAGGACCTTATTTTTAAAACATAAAACTACAACTATTTTCAAGGGAGAAATAAAGTAGGATGATTGTATTTCTGGGTTTAGCAATGACAGCATCAACAAGACACAAGGTACCAAAAAAAAAAAAAAAAAAAAAAGAGTTTGAGCTCTGAGCAAGAGCGGTTCGATGCCCGGCCCAAGCTGAGCTGCCAACAGGTGGCAGAAAAAAAAAAAAAAAAAGTGAAATCTGTAAATACGTAGTTGAAGGAGTATGATTTTTATTTATTTTTTTATTTTTATCTTTTGGCTTCCTTGTTTTTGTGAAGGAGTATGATTTGTGCTTGTGTATGATTCATGTCCATTTGATATTAGCACATTCTGGCTTGTGCTGGAATGCCTAGGAAAGAAATATTTTACTTGATTTTATCAGGCAAACATTAGAAATAGGAGTGCTTCAATTTAAAAGATTACAATCTTAAAAAAAAATTAACAGTACTTTAAAGCTATATGTTCTGCATACACATAGGTCAACTGGGGGCTCTCTTGGGTCCAAACATAAATTACTAACAGGAGAAAAGAATCAGTGAATTTCATTCATGTATATAGTGTACCTAACTGGCATGTGGGACTGTAGTATTTTGGAGATTTATCCAGTTAGGATAAATATGGACTCTGTTTTAGGAAAGATACCTATTGTTTGCTGCCCCTGGTCCCTTACACAGAGCTCTTAAAATCTTTGTAATTTCCTAAGTGATAAGAGCACTAGGAGCATCTTTTGTTCTAATATTTGGTCTTCAACCCTGGTTCCTGACACAGAGCTCCTAAATCGTTTGGAATTTCTTGGGTGAGAAGAACGTCTTTTGTTCTAATGAGGTGACTCTTTGTGGGCTTCTCAATGGGAGCTGGTCACCAGAAAGACCAAACTATAAGCTTGGAACTTTCAGCTCCATCCCTCATCCTTTGGGAAAGGGAGAGGGGCTGGGAAGAGAGATCATGCCTATGTGGTGAGGCCTCCGTGATAATCTCAAGTAATAATCCCAATATTTGGGGTGTGGAGAGCTCCAGGGTGGTGAACAAGTGGAGGTGTGAGGAAACTGGCATTCCTGGAGTCATCAGGAAAGCGCCGTGCCCCTTTTTGCATACCATCCCTATGTATCTCTTCATCTGTATCCTTTGTTATATATATATATATATATTTTTTTTTTTAGCTGAGCCATCCTGCTACCTGTTGGCAGCTCAGCGGCTGCTCAGCTCGGGCCAGGACTCGAACCGCTGTTGCTCAGAGCTCAAACCCTTGAGCGAGCTCTTAACCAACTGAGCCACTCGGCCGGCCCTCCTTTGTTATATCCTTAATAAACCAGTAACCGTAAGTATTTCCCGGAGTGCTGGGAGCCATTCTAGCAAATTACTGAACCCACGGACGGGGTCATGGCAACTCTAATTTATGGCTGGTCTGTCAGAAGTATAGGCTGGTCTGTCAGAACCTGGGACTTTTGGTGTCTGAAGTAGGGGCAGTCTCGTGGGACTGAGCCCTTATCTTGTGAAATCTGATACTAACTCCAGGCAGATAGTGTCAGAACTGAACCAAATTACAGGACACCCAGCTGGTGTCTGAGAGTTGCTTGATGTGTGGAAAACCCACACATCTAGTGTCAGGAGTACTGTATGGTAGTAGCATGTGAGTAAAGGAGAAACACAGGAGTGTATTTCCTATAGAGGCTTAATTCATACAATGTTAAGAACAAAGTCTTTGCATTATGAAAAGTAGGTTAAAGTACAAAGTTGAAAATTACAATCCAGCTACTAAAAAAAGTAATAAATTTCTTCATTTATAATATGAGATGAATTAGATGAACTAGATGATTTTTAAGATGACTTACAGCTTTATGATCATATGATTTAGGATTAACTGAAAGTGATATTATCTAACTCAGCAGTTTCCAACCTCAGAGACTACCAAGAAGGAGCCAAGGCCAGGAGCCAAAGCTCTGGCCATACCACCCCAACCCTGCCAGACCAATCAGATAGCTTCCTCTTATCCTAGCTATGTTTATTAGAGAAAAGGGGAATTCTGACACTTAAAAAACATGTCTGAAAACTACTACCTAGATAAAATAAAAGATACATCAGACAGACAGCAATCATAATATACAGATTTCTGGCTAGATATATTTAGTAACAACTGGGTTCGACTTCCATGGCTCAATTATAAAAAATGCCAAACGTTGTTGTGATTGAGTATAAACCACTATGCATAATTACAGCAATTATCAAAGAGAATACAGTCCTATGATGTTACTTTGCAGAAACTTCATTCCCAGAAGTTGGAAGAGGAATTCTACTCTTGAAATTCTACGATTTTAGAATTAATCACAACCATATTTAAGTGCTGGAAAATGTGAAGTGTTTACCTGGGCTTCTTACTTCACGAGAAGAGGTTGGGTTATGTTAAAGAAGCGTGGCTGTCAATATTCTAATACCACCCTCACCAGCAACTGCTGGTTCAAGCAGAACAGCTCTGCTTCCATGTTACATGCTGAATGTTTTTTAAAATGTTTGAAAAAACAATCCCCTAGATTCAAGCTGAAGACAAGGGAGGACGGTAGGGGGCCCTACAGACAAACCACTGTCAGGGCACGCGGCAAGTCTTAGAAGACTAGAGCGAGAAGATTGAGACTACAAGGCAGATCTCACGCTCCCAGCTGCTCCTGATGACAGATTTTCTAACGCCAAAGTCAGTAACTCTCCTTGAAGACCTAGAAACTATTTTAGGGGGAAAACCATGAAGAGCCAGCTATAAAGAACAAAATCAAGTGTGGCATGAAGTCTGACTTCCTAAACCAAATGGCTTCAAATGAAGATGCTGGTTAAGGCAACAAAGCAAGCTCATTTGTACTAAAACATACTAAGAAATTACCAATATAAATTTTTCCATATCTGATTACGGAGAAGGGAGTAAAGAAAGGTGAGTGGAGTAGGAAGGCACTGGGTGACAGATGCCTCACTTCTGAGTGAGAAAAAGGAGGCTCCACAGTCTCCATTATAAATAATATGAGTGAGGCTAGCTGCTCTAGTCTATATGCTAGAACACTTTAATTTCAAAAAAGCAAAGTTGGAAAAAGCTAATTTCATTATTATAATACATATTTTCTTGCAAAGAAATTTAATATAGTTCTACTGTTCAAAAATATGGATATAAAAATACTATGTTACTGGGACTTTGAAATGCTGTTTCAAAAAATATCTTGACTACTTAAATAGCTTGACATGGCTTAGGACATTAAAACATAAAACAATATTAAAATAAAGATAGGAAAAAGATAAAGGATATTCAGAAGGAGACAAGAGACAAATGTTGCAGGAAACTGGGATGAAAGAGTTATTACTGAGAAGCTAATCTAATTCTAAGCTTCTTAGTACCAGAAGGAACTATCCCAAGAGAGGAGAGGTAAAGATTGGCTTAGTAGTTCTCATTCAAGTTGCTGTTGTCATGCATTTCATGTATCTCACAAATGTGACACCATGCTCAACATTCCAGTAAAACAAATCACCTGCTTTACGTGAGATAAAAATATTTCAGATTCGACATAGGTTGGTTCAGATAGTCAGCATGCCACCAGCTAACAGCTTAACACTGTGCTTTCGAAAAAGAAAACTAGCAAACGAATCAAGTCGGCTTTAATTTAGATTTCTACCACTGAATTAATATGCTTGGCCTTGATCAAGGTCCTGTATTAGCCATAAATGAATGAAAATTCATTTGGATTTCCAAGCAAGAAGTCAAACTCAGTTTTGTTCAGATGCTATTATTTAAAAGTATAGCCCTAATGTAATAAAACGTTAAGTGTAAACAAAATTTCATTAGTTTTCTAAATTCTCTTTTCTTCTTATACATGGTCAATAGCAGATAGAACCTTTAAATATAAATTAAACTTTTAGTCAGGTTGAAAAAGTATTGCAGAGAATTTATCACAGATAATTGAATCAAAAAGGAATACAATCAAAAGAACTTATCAGATACATTTTTAACATAATTCTGAATTACTTCAATGCTCTGTAACAATCTACTGGCTAAAAAAAAATATTGCAAAGGGCTGTGCATGATATATATTACATATTTCAGCCCATAATACTCACTTACTAACAGTTGCTTCTTTGATTTTGTGATTTTACATTTGGAGACAAAAACAAACTGAAAGAAAGATCCTTCTTTTTCTGAATTACCGGGTCAAATCACAAAGATTTAGGTAACATATATGCTGGGTGGTTTCTATTAGGTCCAACGATATGACATTGCCAATATACAACTATTTCTGATATATAAAACCAGCAATTTTATATGGTTCACTTAATATGAAAATTGGATGAGACTAGTACTATTGCCTGTATAAAATAATTTCAGATTATAATTTCTTTACATGAAGCTTTTATTTCTAAAACTTAAGATAGAAGTTATTTTTTAGCTATTGTTAAGTATAATAAAAAAAAATTTCCATTACAACATATAAAATAAAGATCTGATGATAAGATGCTTAGGTGTTACTGTACGTCAGATTTAAACAATGACTAAGCATTTCAATATAAGGTGAGAAATTCTATACTCACATGTTTAAAGCAGGTAACTGGAGCTGCTATAAAGCTATTGCTATTGATGTAGTTACCCCAGCTGAAACCTTCTATGGAGACTGCTGCTGAAATAAAATAAATTTAGATATATTACAATTCTAAATCTTTTATTTATAAGGTTGTTTTAAAATTTGAAATAATATAAAATCAATTTATCACCCTTTAAATAAAGTTTTTGTCTGTAAAGATTAAAGAACTTCTGTAAATAAACATGAACTTTGGCATATATCATACATGCAAACAAAGAGCAGTTTAAGCCCTCTACATAAAACATATGCTCCTCGGGAAGTGAAGTAAGAGCTCTCCAGTCATGAGAAGCAAAGAACAGCTGACGGCAGAAGTGTTCCCGATAACAAACATGGCTACAGCTGCTTTTGTGTTTTTATCCTCATCATGCAACTCTTACCGTGTGCCTTCAGGGAGCTTTCTATCCAGTATCTATCAACTAATACCTTCACTCAGGGTTTTCATTGCCTTATTCTCTACTTACCTACTTGCCTTTGCACTTTTGTTAAGCATCTCCTTTTAGAAATGGTCCTTTCCTCTTATGACTCTCTTCTCCCCAACCCCCTTTAAGATTGTTAAATGTCTTATTTCTTTGCCAATTATCTCCACAATGCTTCTCACCATCCAAAACATAGAGAACAGTGCTTTGTATTTTAATATTTATAAACATTACTAAACCAAATAAAAAACCTTAATATTAAGAAGGTTGTCACAAGCACTGGACCTTGTGAATGCAATTATTCTCGTCTAGGATAATTTACTGAAATCAAAACCATCATCAGGAAGCCCAGTGTCATATACAATAATAGGGTACAGAAATAGCTTAATCAGAATTCAAAATTAAAATGTCATTAATTAAAACTACATGAATCAGTATCAAATATTTCACCTCCATTACATTCACCCAATATTACCTGCTTTAGTCTTTGCTTGATTTTGCAAGGTAGCTTGATACTGGGCATATGCAGCTAGTTTAGCAACTAAAGGTTGTTTCTGAAGAACTTTTGCTTTCTTTGTTGGAGGCTTACCCTAAAACAAGAAGAGTTAAGTAAATAGGATTCTTTCTCATCCCCCTCCCACACCAAAAACTAACTTGATTGCATACTACTCATTCTGCTTAAGTAAACATCGAGGGTTTAGAAAATTATTAAAGCAGAGGAAACATACAAGGAATTTTAACATGAGAAATGTTTTCTGGAGTTTTCTGCCACAATGTAGATATCTAAAATGGGTAGCAGAGCTGGCATAGACAAAAAACAGCAATATGCAAATTAATATGTTAATAAAAAATTACATCCCATAAGATGTTAAAATACAGGCTGTGGTGGATACTTGATTCCTTCTTATACTAGATAAAACCAGTGGTTATTCACTCATGCAGGTTGCCAAGCATTGCTATTTATATGGTAAGAGAAGATAATTTAACGTTTAAAGAGCAAGTGACTAAGGTTTATACCTTTAGTGCTAACGCAAAAGATCAATGACAAAATGATCATGGGCCAAATTCACAGTGTGACAAACTGCCATCCATTTGGGTACAGACCACTGCTCAGGATCTTTAGGTACTGTCTTTCTGAAATATAGAAATACATCTAAGTGATGTATTTCCTTAATTTGGGGGACTTAAATAATCCTTTCAGTGCTATGTAATGATCACAATAAGTTAAAGGAGAATAAGAAAAATGTGATCACCAAAATAAAATACATTACAAAAATCAGATATGCAATGCCTCTAAAAAATTGTTTATATGCTACAATAGTTAACAACTTAGACAAATGGTCAAATCTCCAGTCATTTTGTTAGGTACTGATGTACATTTAAAGAAAGATGATTTCCTTCTATATTATGAACATTTTCAAAAAGGTTAGTTGGATTAACCAAATACATCTGGTCAAGGTATCAAATAGGTTATCAAAAGTACAAAGCAAAGATGATGGGAAATTAAAACCAAAGGGTAAACATATGCCCCAAATGTTGAAAGAGTCTATCTTGATAATAACTCAAAAGAAAACAAGGGGGAGAAATGGTTTCAATGTCTGTATATATAAAGGCATTTACTATATTTATAATTATTCAGAAAAATGGTATTTTTAATGCACTTACACAATTCAGTTTATTCTGGATAATACCATGCCTTGTCTATATACAATAGCTGTCAATTTTACGGACTGAACAAACTATGGTGCTCACCTATATCCTAAAAATGTAGAGTATAAAATGATAACTGGCCAATGGGGCAGAGGTGGAGTGCAGTGAATCACAATCAAATGGCAAATAAACGGTGAAAAACCATAGAAATAACAGATATAAAGAATAAGAAGGTTTCTGTACCGTTACCTGAAGTCTGGCCAAAATGCTTGCCTTCTTGGAGTTTGACGAATAACTTCTTGAACATGAAACGCTGCAGAAACGTTTGGTTTTAGAGTAAAACGCGTCTCGCACACCAACCATTCCACACATTTCGCAGGTAGCTAATTAAACAGAATAAAAATACTGGGTGTTACGATAATATAATAAAATCAATTTTTACCTAATAGATTAATAATTTCTCCATCTAAAAGTTTTAATTTAAATATTTTCCTTCTGGGGCCAGCCGAGTGGCGCGATGGTTAAGAGCTGGCTTGGGACGCCAGAGGACCCCGGTTCACATCCCACATATGAGGGCCAGTGACACTGCCCTCTACAGCTAAGATGCTGAACAACAGCTCAACCTGGAGCTGGGCTGCTGTGAGTTGCCGGCTACGGTGTAGGCTGCAGCCCCTGCTGCAGTGGGTTGCCATGGGCTACCGTGTGTAGCCAGCAGCCAGCGTGAGCAGCCAGCAGCCGCCATGAGCGGCCGTCCAGAAGCCGGCGACTGATCTGCCTTGCCTGGGAAGAGCACAATGATGATGCCAACTTGGGCCAGTGAAGCAATGTCCTCCACAATTAGACTGAAGAACAAAAGGACAGCAACTTGTCTGTTCCCCTTCCCCCGATTTCCCAGAGCTGTTCCCATCCCCCAAGTCCCCAATAAAAATCTTAAAAAAAAAAAAAATTTCCTTCTAACAGATAGAAAATTTCTTCTATGTGTTATACAAATGATAGAGAAAAGAATGATATGATGCCATGGCTAGGGACTCCAGAAGATCTGACAATAGCTCAAGGTCTGAAAGGCTTTCAACAGGATCAAAAGACACAAACAAATATAAATCACATTCAACTAACATCTCCTTAGTGCTCACCTCGTGCCAGGCGTTTTCATATGTATTATATGAACTACGGTGCTTGAAAGGATTATAAACAAAAGATGAAAAGTGCAATGAAACTGAGGATTAATAGAAGTGCAGCATAAGCCTTTAAACTATTGCAAAGATTGAAACCTAAAAAGATCTAACTCTTGGAAAAATACTAACAGCAATACAAGGATTCTCACAAAATAAGTTCAGGGGACAAGAAAGAAGGGACAGGGTCCAAACTTGAGGTAGGTCTAGCTCTATTATTAACTGATAATAAGGGGCAATAAAACTCCAACTACTATTGTGCCTCTTTTGTAAATTAGCATAATGGACAATAATCTGAAAGGCGGAATAGAAGAACAAGGGTCATAAGAGCTGAAGTTCAGAAAAGGAAAACAGGTATACCCCCAGGAGTGGACTGTTTAATTATATGGTAGTTGTATTTTTCACTTTTTGAGGAATCTCCATAGTTTTTCATAATGGCTGCATTAATTTACATTCCCACCAACAGTGCACTAGGGCTCCCTTGTCTCCACATCATTGCCAACACCTGTTATCGCTTATAGTCTTTTTGATAATAGCCATTCTAACAGGTGTGTGGGGTGGTCTCTCTTTGTGGTTGTGATCTGTATTTCCCTGATGATTTGTGATGTTGAGCATGTTTTCATGTACCTATTTGCCATCTGTATGTCTTCTTTGGAAAAATATCTATTTAGGTCCCTTACCCATTTTTATATTCAATTATTTGCTTTTTTGCTATTGAGTTGTATGAGCTGTTTATATATTTTGGATATTAACCCCCTTTTTTTTTTTAAAGGTTTTTATTGGGCAATTGGGGGAGGGGAACAGCACTGGGGAATTGGGGGAAGGGGAATAGACAAGTTGCTGTTCTTTTGTTCTTCAATCTAGTTGTGGAGGACGTTGCTTCACTGGCCCATGTTGGTATTGTGATCATTGCGCTCTTCCCAGGTGAGGCAGTCACTCACTGGTCATTGGACGGGCTCTCATGGCAACTCAAGAAAGTGCACGCCAGCTGCTGGTCAGCCCCACTGCAGCCTATGCCATCGCCAGCGGCTCCCGGCAGCCCAGCTCCAGGTCGAGCTGTTGTTCACCATCTTAGCTGTAGAGGGCGCAGCGTCACTGGCCCTCATATGTGGGATCTGAACCGGGGCCCTGCTGCTCAGAGCTGCAGTCCCAAGCCAACTCCTAACCAACGCACCATTCGACTGGCCCTCTGGGTTGCCTTTTCAATTTATTGTTTCCTTTGCTGTACAGTATCTCTTTAGTTTGATGTAGTCCCACTGTTTATGTTAGCTGTTGGTGTCTTATTTAAGAAATCACTGCCAAGACCAGTATCAAAAAGCTTTTCCACTATGTTTTCTTCTAGGAGTTTTATGGTTTCGGGTCTTACATTTAAGTCTTTAATCCATTTTAAGCTAAGTTTTGTGAGTGGTGTAAGAGAGGGGTCCAGGTTCATGCCTCTGTATAAGCATATCCAATTTTCCCAATACCATTTATTGAAGAAACTATCCTTTCCCCAGTGTGTGTTCTTGGTGCCCTATCAAACATCAGCTGACTGCCAATTAGTATTTCAAAGAAATATCTGCCCTCCAATATTCATTGCAGCATTATTCACAATAGCCAAGATTTGGAAACACTAAATATCCTCTGATGGATGAATGAATAAAGAAATTGTGATATACATATGTATTACATATGTATACAGATACATACGGTATATATTTATCTATATAATGAAATATTCATTATAATAAAATATTGTTCAGTCATAAAAAAAGAAGAAAACCCTGTCATTCTCACTACATGGATGAACCTAATGCTAAGTGAAATAAGTCAGACAGAGAAAGACGAATATTGTATAGTATCATTTATATGTGGAATCTTAAAAAATAAAAAGAAGCCTATTTCATAGAATGGTGGTTGCCAGGGGCTGCAGGAAATGGAGAGATGTACGTCAAAGGGTACAAATTTCAGTCATAAAAAGAATAAGTTGTAAGGATCTAATGTACAACAGGGTGGCTGTAGTTAATAATATAGTATTATATACTTGAAAGTTGCTGAGGGTAGAATTTAAGTGTTCACATCACAAACACACAAAACGTTAACTATGTGAGGTAATGGGTGTGATTATCTTGATCTTGATCTTGGTAATCATTATGTTGGGGAAAAAAGATCAACAGAAAACAAGTATGAAAAAAACACAAAACAAAACAACTAAGTGAGTGGGTTCAAATCTCTACCCAAACAGGTAAAAGTGGAGGGACTTGTAATTTAACCACTATTTGTTAAGTCTATGAGAAATCATGGGAAAAATATAAGGTGCCAGAAGATTAGAGACGAACAAAGGGTGTCTGAGGGGAGGAGAAAAACCTACCGTTTTCTGTTGTAAAAATTCTAGAACAGATTACCGTATTTGCCGGCGTATAAGACGACTGGGCGTATAAGACGACCCCCTAACATTTCCACTCAAAATACAGAGTTTGTTATATACTCGCCGTATAAGACTACCCCCTCTTCCGCACACCTTCCACACACCAAATAAAAGGTAAAACAATATCAGATTTGATTTGGCCCACTGAAGTGCAAACAAGCGTATTGTATTTCGTGTCACCACATAACCGTTTTGGCGATGTTGAGCCACCATGTCTGCTACATGTTTTTCGAGTTCTGGCCAGTGTGGGGTGCCTCTTCTTTTTTTTTTTATTTTATTTTATTGGGGAATTGGGGGGATGGGAACAGTGCTGGGGAGTTGGGGGAAGGGGAACAGACAAGTTGCTGTCGTTTTGTTCTTCAATCTAGTTGTGGAGGATGTTGCTTCACTGGCCCAAGTTGGCACCATCATTGCGCTCTTCTCTGGAGAGGCAGATCAGTCACCGGCTTCTGGACGGCCGCTCACTGCGGCTGCTGGCCGCTCACGCTGGCTGCTGGCCACACACGGTAGCCCATGGCAATCCACTGCCACAGGGACTGCAGCCCACGCCGTCGCCGGCGACTCATGGCAGCCCAGCTCCAGGTTGAGCTGTTGTTCAGCATTTCAGCTGTGGAGGGCAGTGTCACTGGCCCTCATATGTGGGATCCGAACCGGGGCCCTCTGGCATCCCAAGCGAGTTCTTAACCATCGCGCCACTCGGCCGGCCCTGGGGTGCCTCTTCTTAATGCACACTTACCCCTTGGCATACTCTTTAATGCTTTCTCATTTGATTTCCAGTCCCGAACCATCTTTTCTGTTACTCCATATTGTCTTGCAGCAGCACAATTATTATTTTCCTTAGCAAAGTTTATAACTTTCAGTTTAAAATTTGCATCATACTTCTTTCTTTTGGCTGGTGCCATGATAGGGATGATAGGGGTTTGACTGGTCGACATTTTCTATGCTGTACTGTACAATGGTGCAGTATTGTGGTTGGCTGTTGGCTGTATACAAAGCCTGATTTGATTGGTCCCTGCTCCCTGTTTGCCCGCCCTGTCACTATAGCAGTCTGGTCCACCCTTGCATCAGCATCTCCCTGGGACCTCACTAGTGCGCAAGTGAGAGCTCTTCAACATTCTAACAGGCACCATGATAGCGCAAAATCGCGAATCTTCAATGCATAATATGTAAAGAAATATATGGTAACCCGAATTACCACACTCGCAAAATCGCACACAGCCGACCATACACCCAGTATGGTATCGCGATTCGCGATTTTGCGCTATCATACTGGGTGTATGGTCGGCTGTGTGCGATTTTGCGAGTGTGGTAAAATCGCATAACAGCAAAATCGCATAACAGCCGAGCATACACCCAGCAGCGCTGCTGATGCCTGAACGGTATGTGGAATGAAGTGGGCGGGCATCGGGAGGCCACTATGGCACGGGGCAAGCACTATGGGCAGTCTATCTGAAGTGTACCTGGCGTATAAGACGACCCCCCACTTGGAGGCATATTTTTCAGGGCCAAAAAATCGTCTTATACGCCGGCAAATACGGTATTAAAAAGGTTTGTGATCATCCAGGTAGAAAAACTGTTATTCCCAAGGGGACAATGTATCTTTACTAAGAATTATACATGTCAACCTAGAATTCCCAAGACTAGGAAGTAAGCTCCACCTGGCAGGGACTTTATTCTATTATGGTCATCTCTGTATCTCTAGTATTTAAAACAATCTGGCACACATAGAGTTTATATCCTTTTGTGATAAGATTAACAGACTGGTATGGTGAGACTAAGCCATGGCATGATACATATTAACAGGCGTTAACACCTTTGATAAAATCTCTCAGCAGCTTTGTTAATAAAAATTGAGAAATTTAAGCCTAAGTGCAAGACACTGAACTGGTTTTGACTGGTTGGGTGACCACACCTAGTGGGTCCTAATTAAGGAAGTGAAGTTCTTTGATATAGTCTGAGGACTCTGTACCCGGCCCTGTGCTGCTCAGCTTTTTAATCAAAAGATTAAAATAGGATCTACAAGGCATTACCATCAAATCTGCAAATGACATGAAACTGGAAGATTAGATGACACAGCATAACATTAGATGACAGAAATAGGAATAAAAAATTTCTAAGACGACCAAAATTTAATAAGAAAAAAAAATTATGATCATGTGATGCCTTGGTTTGAACTAATAAAGCTATTATGCCAAAAAAAAAAAAAAAAGGAAAAAGAAAAGTTATATGGAGAGCTTAAAGTCTTACACCTCGGTTATAAAAAAATCAACTGCAAAAGCACAAGACTGGTTTAAATTGGTTTAGTTCATATGATAAAGATCAAAGGGTTTTAATTATTTGCAAATTCAGTATTAATTTCAAAAACGTTAAAGCAATTTTGGTGTCATGAATGGAAATAGTGTCCTGAAAAAGGGTGATAAAAGGCTGCACTCCCTTCCGCCCTAGTCACACAGGGTAATCAACCATCTGCCTAAGGTACTTTCCAGGATGTGGGACTTTGAATCCTAAATCCAGGACAGTCTCAGGCAAATCAGAACACGTTGTTGCCCTGCCACCACACAATCTGAAGTATCCCCAAAGGAAAGTGAGCAGAGTACCGATGAATTAAATCACTATGATACTGTGAGAAATGGTGGAAGCGACTAGTGACTTGGTGTTACTAGAGACACACTGAAACTATGTGTCCGAGTATGAAGAGAAGAGACGGCATAACAAAAATCAGAATTATTTTGTGTACCTTTAAGGAGCAAAATTAAACCCAAAAGACAAAAGTTAGAGCAAGGATAATTGTGGTTCAACATCAAGAATATTCTGGAAATTTAGAGATACCCTATAACTGGAATTGTTAAAACAGGAAGCTTCTTATAAGGAACTGCTACAGAGGGCAAGTGTCTTCCCACACTGTCAGTCTATTATCCTACACACTTTCAATTACGTAGGGATTTATTATCTAATTACGAAATTTAAGTCCACATTGAAGTTTCTCAACAGCTTTCTGTTTTCATTTTGTTCTACAAGCTTTCCACCAGAAAGTGGAAATAAAGTCAAAATAGAGAGATCAAACACAAACCCAGTGATTTTATCTTCTAAAACTACAAGTTTCAAGCTGTGTTTCTTCAAACTGTTCTTTAAAAATTCTAAAGAGGGGAAATGACAGAAGAAATGGAATTGAAACATAGCCTCAAATATAAAGTTGTTTAACAGGTAAAGGCTGTTCGCCCGAAGGCTGAATGATATTTATACTCACCCATGCCAGATTTACCATCCGGGTATGTGTAGACTTGTCCATTGTTTTTGATAATCGGGAGATTGGAAGGTAAAGGAGCAACTTCTTCTTCACTCTCCTCAGAGCTGGAGCTGCTACTTGTGTCCTCACTGCAGCTATCATAACCGTCAAACATCCCGAAAGAGTCTCTTCTTTTCCTTTCGGATCGTGAAGAATTTTCAGTCTTAAAAGTAGAAGAAATAATACGTGACATGGCACTCAGACGCACTCCCTAAAAAATCTTAGTTCAAATTTTGGTAAACAAGATTGGAAAAATGAAAATCAAGCCCAGAGAAATGATAATTTTATTTTACAATAAAAAGCTGAATGCTTTTGTCAAAATGGAGCCCTCTACGTCTATGAGGCACAAATCTATTAGCTAACATGTTAGCTAATAAGAATAACAATAATGATGGTAAGGACACGGACTGAATTAGAAGATCATCGTGTCATTCAAGTTTTGCCATGAATTAGATGGGTCACTTTTTATAAAAGAGAGATGAGATCAGATGATTTCTTTAAAAAAAATTGTGGTGAGATGCACATAACAGATGATTTCCTAATTTGCCTTTTATCTCCAAAACTGCAAATGTCTATACTGCAATAATTTAGAGTATCCAGGAAATACACAGATGCTTTTAAAAATCACTGCTAAGAGTTCCGGAGGGATTGAGAATTTAAAATTTTAGAGACCATTTCTAGACATTAAGTATTTAAAAAATTATAGAAGATAACATTTTTACATATGCAACCCTGTTTCTTTTTTCTTTAACATAAACAATGTTTAAAACGAATCCCCAATTATCTCAAGTTAAACATTATTTCCTTTTCAAAAGAAAAGCACAAAGACACTATGTCATCTTCAGGGACTGCTACTCATTTATTCATCCCTCCAAAAAATGTTCCCTCATTCAAGCCACAAAAATACCCCTCCAAACTAACATCACTACTCAAAACTTTCCTGAAATAAATCCCCAAACTTTAAGTTTAGTGAGAAGAAAATCAAAAGGAGATAGGAAATAATGAGGAAAAAAAAATTACTTGAAATTAAAAAAAAGAAAGAAAAAAAAAAAGAAACCACCAGGAAACATGTAGTAGGTTACAGCTAGAGCAGATACCATCAATGAAAGAATCTTTACTTTGGCACCTATTCTTTGTTCTTTTGTTTCAGTTAATATTTTTTGGTATCATCTTACACATTTATGCACAATTTCTTTTCTGACTAGTTTAACTTAACATGACTAATAACCAAGCTGAAATCTGTTGTCCGAAGCTTGACAAGATAAAACCATGCAAAGGCATATCTTAGTTTTATTGAATCAACGGTCATCTCCAGGTATGCTAGCATTAAACATCTGCACTGAGATGGGAAATAAGATTTTCACTTGTATCAGGTTTAACTACGGAAGCACCAAAATTGGTTTCTAAATCCACACAATGGAAATATGATATATCCAAGTGAAAACTGTCTTTTAGGAAGTCCCTTGGGAGGCTCTCTCTACACATGTTCTACCTCCAACTCTTCTTAGTATTCAGAACTTTCTTAGACCCAATTTTAAAAAGAAAAACTTCTTGTTTGTGGTCACTTTAGACTTATTCCCCCATCTCCCTCAATATTTTCACTAGCTTGATTTATCCGCCTTATTTAGCAGATTTGGTTTTGAATAACTTTCAGGTATTTCTACAAATCAAATGTATCTTCAAAGAATCAAAATCTACTACCCCCAAGATTTCAAAAGAATAAATAAGAGTCTGAAGGCAATTCTAAAAGACAAGTCTCACAACATTCTGAACTGATAAGGTGGCAGGAAATGGGACAGTCCTTGTTTAGGTGAAGTGTGGTGCTGGAAACACAGAATTCTGACAGACCGAGATTTGAGACCTACCATTGCCATCTATTAGCTGTGAACTTGGGCAAGTTGTGAGATTCTTCCCTTATTTATGCACCATTCAACAACTATCAAGTATCTGTGTGTCTCACAGTGACAGAGGCTAAAGATAAGGTGGTGTACAGAGCAGACAAGATCCATGGTTCTCACAAAAGCTATGGTTTCCTGGTGGGAGACATCTAAGCAAGGCCATGTGAGGACAGAGTAGCTATGGTAGGGGTAGGCAACTGAGATGCAGTGGAGGAAAGACCCTGCCTGAGGACAAGGGCAGTCATTTAAATATCTGGTGCTGGAATGTTCTAAGCCAAGGAAAGAGCAAGACCAAGGCTTTCAAGCTGGAATATACTTGGCACATTGAAGACCACTGTGGCTGGGGCCCAGAGTGGAGGTGTGGGAGGTGAGGTCGGAGGATGTAGTACCACATGACAAGGGCCCTTGGAGGTCAGGGTAAAGAATTGATTTTTTTCCCCTGAGGGCAATGGGAAAACATTATGAAATACTTATCACATTGACTGGAATACACACTTAATAAATACTGGCTAGAATTCTAAGATCTAATAAATTTACACAGCCTACCACCAAGTAGAGGTGACCTCTTATACCCAGTTTTCATATAAACTTGTCCACTTCAAAGCCAGCTCAGGTGGCAGCTAATGCATACTTACAGACCCTTCAATGTCAAAATATCTCTCTTCTGACTCTACTTCTCAGAGAATATAACCCTGAAATTTCAGGAGGTCAATGATTATGAACATTGTGGTTTCAATAAATATAGGCGATTAACATGAAAAAAAAAAAGTACTATGGTTATAAATACATTTGGGAAATTTTCCTTACTTCAGGCCTTCTTCGAGTTTTTAATATACTTATGAACATTATGATAAAGAGGGATATATAGTATGCAGTCTGTCACAAAGCATCTTCAAGGACTAATGTTCCAGAGAAATGCTCTGACCTTTTCCACCATCCTCACATACAGAAAATGATTATACCACACAAGGGGAATATGCCCCTGGATGCGCCCAGCCTGAGGCCTCTGACTGTCCCAAGTACTGCAGGAATGAATATCTTGACGTACACATAATCCAGGGCACACTAGCTGAGAAGCTATGTTCTACATGCGGAATGCTGTTCCCTAACTTTTTTTTTTAAATTGGGGAACAGTGTGTTTTTCCAGGACCCATCAGCTCCAAGTCAAGTAGTTTTCATTTTAGTTGTGGAGGGCGCATCTCAGTGGCCCATGTGGGAATTGAACTGGCAACCTTGGTGTTATGAGCACTGCGCTCTAACCAACTGAGCTAACCAGCTACCCCTTATTTTTTTCTTAGATTAGATTAGAATACTAGTGGAAAAAAAAATATGTGTGTGTGTGTATGTATTTATACATATACGTGTGTGTGTGTGTATACATGTAAAATTTATTTACTATATAGGGGAGCTTAATTGGAATTCCTGCATCAGACCAAAACCCTTAAGGGGGCTGCAACTTCAATGAAAGAGTGAATGGGGGGGAAAATCTAACTGCAAAGGGGACCTAACAAGGGAGCCTTTTCTGTACATGTTCTGGGTGGAAATGCTTCTCCGGGGTTTCATTATCACAGGCCTGCCCCCCTGAGTATGTCTGAGGTCATAACTTACCCTACCCCTTGACGGTCAGGAAATCCCCGGGTCAAGAAATCAAAGTGGTTCCAGGATATTAGTGCCCCTGGATACCCAGCAAAAGCAAATCCTAAATTACCTCAGAAAATAATCACCTACAATTCAGGCCTTGTAGCATTCTCATAGATTTTATCAAATATGAGTACACAGTCAAATATCAAACACACAATAAGCAATCCACTACAGCACATTGTCAGCAGAAATAGATTAGGAATCCCAAAGTTAGGCACTGGAAATGCCACAGACAGAATATAAAATAACCATACAAGAACTGATTAAGAAGAAATGAAAATGTTATTGAAAATTGAGCAAAGGAATAAAAAGCAATCTACAGATTTGAAAAAAACCCAAAAAACCTAAATGTTAACTTCTGTAAATAAAAAAATATAACCACTGTAATTTAAAAAACAAACAACAAACACCTCAATAGATGGGATGAACAGGTCAGACATGACTAAAAAAGAATTGGGAAATGGAAAATAAACATTAAGAAAATATCCAAAACACAGTAAAGAAAAACAGAAGTATGGAAAATAAGAGGTTAAAAGAGCACAGAATGTAATGATCTAATAAATGCCTAATAAGGATTCTCAAAGGACGGAATGGAGAATGGTAATGTTGAATGAGATACTGGTTGAAAACACAAATTCACAGAGAGAACTACAATATATGTTAAGCACAACAAAAAGATGTCCACATTTAAACAGATCACAGTAAAATTGCAGAACACCAGGGAGAAGGTTTAAAAAACAACCAGTCACCACAAATGAATCTCACTAGTCAACAAGTCCAGCTCAGGCACTGATGCAGTCCAATCAATCAGCTGCTTAGTAACTAACTATAAATATGACCAGATGGGCAAGGACCACCAATGAGTTGAGAAAGGACTCTAAGAATATGAAAGACTAACACAAATCTTGAGGAAAAAAGAATCTATAGTAAACAGGTAATACGTGGAGCAAATGAAAACTTTAAAAAAATGAAATGAATTCTTCAGAGATATGTGTGAAAAAGATAGATCTTGGGTTTAAAAACAGAAGAGGCAAAATAATATACAATAAATGGATAGTAAAATTAAGAAAATCTTTGAAATAGCGTGTGCGTATACATGAGACAAAAAGCTAGATAGTAAAAAAGATAAGGTAAACACAGAGAGCCAAAATCCAAAGAACAGAGATACTGAAGAAAGACAAAGCAGATGTTAGAGTCATATAAAGAAAAAAATACACACACACACACACACAAAAAATTCCAGGATCAAAATAGTTTCTATCTTGAGACCATGCCAGCCCAGCTTAATGACTTAAAAAAAAAATCTATACCAACGTACATCATAATAAAAATTACAGAACTCTGACAATGAAGATACTAAAAGCTTCAAGAAAAACACTATGCCACATAAAGAGATGTGAACTGGGATATCAGTGGGCTTCTCTCAATAGCAAGATTAATAAAAACAATGCCTTCAAACTTAAAGGAAAAAAAAATCAGAAAATCTATACTCAAAGCGAAAAATCAATGAAATAATTAAAAAAACAAACAAAAATAAATGAAAGCATATGCTGGTTCTTTGAGAAGAGCAATACGATTGATAAACCTCAAATCAGAGATTAAGACACAAGTTTTCCAATATTAT